CCAAACCCTAACCATTCTCACCCTTCCACTTTCTCTCTCTACCCCCAAATGCTCTCCCTTCTCTCTAGAAATTCAAAAACACATGAAAATCCATCCACAAAAACTCTAGAAATCGAAGCTGCAAAAATTCTGCCAAAAAAACTGAAAAACGCTGGAAATCACCATTCCAGCCAACTCCACAGCTGGAACCTCCACCCTACAGGCTGCACACCTAGGGACGAAGCCTTCCATGGCAGCAATTTGACACAAACAGCTCAAAAGCAACCCCAATCTGCTGAAAATCGAACAACAGTCGCGACCGTAGCGACCTCGCCTGGGAAGAACGTGATTTCCGGCGCCGGTACTGACAATCACGATCGCGAACCACAACTGGAAGCTTCCCAACACCCAAACGAGCTTTAGGTGGCTCAAGGAGAGGTACACATAAATGGTTCATGGGTATAGATGATCTTTATCATAATATGATAACTTGTCGTATGTGAAGGCAAAGGGGTACACAGAAATGCCTATCCTACCATGGCGTATATGGGTTCAGATCTTATTTGCATATACTCTTGTGTTTATATGGTTGTACTTGCTCTATTTCTACAGCATGTCATTTGATGTTTGTTGGCGGACATCCTCAGTGTTAAGCCAACTCATGTACAAGTGTGATTTACTAATTTGTTCTATTTGGCTTGTCAAATCAGGTGGAAGAGCTCTTGAAAGAATATGACAACGTCTGCACACTCAGATTCGAATGCCAATATCTTCTGACCTCTTAACTGTTTTTCTTTTTCTTTTTATTTTTTTATTTTTGCAGTTACCACAGCTTAATATAGATTTTTTTGTAATTGATTGATTTATGATGGAGCTCGTATAGATTATAATCCTATCTATTTTAAGGTTTAGCACCATTGATATAGAAAACTTCTTGAAATGGGTGATATAGATTATGATTTGCTCGTGCTGCAGAGTTTGTATTTAAGGAACAAACTTCTGATGTAGAACTTCGTTTTGATTTTAAATTATATTCTTCACAATGAGGCCAAATACTTTAGTTCTCAAACAATAAGAGAACATCAATCAGATTTAAATAGTTTTTGTGTGATCATAACAAATTCATTCTTCAACAAAACTATTAAATATAAATTAAGTAAACGTGCATTGCACGTTACTTACACCTAGTATATATATATATATTGAATAATTTTTAATATTATATAATTAAATATTAATAAACGACATCGCTCTTACGATAGCTGATTGTCGACGTTGACTAGTCCACGTTAACTGGTTAACGTCCGCCCGGACTGAGCTTCGACGCTGAGTCCACCACTGGTGGAGGTTTGGCGAGAAGATGAGTATTTTTATTTTTTCAATTAATTTATGTGAAATATATAAAATTACAATATTTTCATTCTACGCTTTGGGCGCAACAAGTTGAATGCTCTGGGTTTATGGATATTACAAATGAAAGGATTGGTTAAAAGATGCAACTAAGTAAAAGATTTTAGACTACAACGGTAATTTTTTTCATAAAATAATTTTAAAAAGTTGGGATATAAAAGCGAATACAATCATGCTACATCATTATATGATAGATTTGTCACATTTCTTGACCGAAAAGAATGACAATTTTTACACCAATCACTTATTGTCACACATTCATTCAAAATGTCAAACTCATATGATAAAGTGGCATTATTCGAGTGAATATGCTTGTAATAAATTCAATCCAACTGTAACATTTCTCATGGTTCTAGTCGAGGCTGGAGTCGCAATCATCATACTTGAAACAACAGCTGGCCAAGCCACAGCATGTCTGGCTAAAGTAAAAAATTGTTTGGACATATTTTCTTAAGTACTTATTTCAACAAAATATAATTAGCTACTTATAAGTATAATTTCTAAGGTCTGCGAAACTTCTTTGCATTTCACCAAAGCAGAACACTAGGGATTCAATTCAAAAGAAACACCACTTACATATTCAACTACTTTTTCACAATTTCACTTTCAACACGTTTGGTTGGTGAAAACTGCATTTTCTCGTACCCATTCTTCTTGCTTTATGCACATATCGAAAAAGAATTAAAATCAAACCAAAAGATTTCTACTTTCTTTGTTTTGCTTCCAACCTAAGCAACTTTTTTGCATATATTGAGGAACCGATCTGTTTTATTTGAAGTTTTAAACTTCTTGTAATCACATAACTAAAGATTCAGTATTTTTTTGTGGGAAATTGTGAAGAAGAGAAGAGAAAGAGGTGGGATTATGGGGATATTGTATGATGATTTGGTGTTAATTAGGCCGTCAGAGAAAGAAGGGGAACCCAGTGTAATCACTGTCAATTGTCCCGACAAGACTGGTTTGGGCTGTGATCTTTGCCGCATAATTCTCTTCTTTGGCCTCACTGTTGTCCGAATTGGTATGTAATTCATCTGCATAGATGCAAATTTTTATTCTGTTACATTCAGCACAGAGACTTACAAACACATTAACTATTTAACAATTCGTATGCATACGTGCTTGTTAATGATTGCTAAACGAATTGATGAACGGTTGTTGTGAATCTTGTGGAAAATTTGTGGTTCTTGATGGCCTTTATCTCTGTGAATATGGATAATGGATTGGTATTGTAAATTAAGGATGAACATACAATTTCAGCTCCACGGTACTCTTTCTTTTCTTTGTTTTTATGTTAAGATTTTGTTTTTCTTTTCCATTATCCATGAAAAAAGATTAGACAATTTAGTATGTGTTTGGATTTCAAGGAGATTATTATGAGAGGAGTTATTAGTCCCATGAAATGTGTGGATAATAAGTGGTTAGTACTTATGAATGTGTGGACAAGTTAGGAATTGTTCTTTCCAAAATTCATTCTGATTTTATTAATTTTTGGTGATTTTTTGGCCCATTTTCATCTTCTTGCATAAAATGTTGTGAATGAAGATGTATCTACGGATGGAAAATGGTGCTACATAGTGTTCTGGGTTATTGGCAAACCGAGTACGAGATGGGCTTTGTTGAAAAAAAGATTGATGGGGGCATGCCCTTCTTGTTCGTCAGCTTCTGGAATTTCATATTACAGGGCTGAGTTGCAGCCACCGAAGCCTCCTGATGTGTTCCTGTTGAAGCTCTCTTGCCATGATAGAAGGGGCCTTTTGCACGGTAACTGCTATATTCCACGACTACTTTTGTCACTAGTCCTTTCAAATTTGACTATGATAATCGTTATTAATAGGGTGTTTGGTGGGGATTAAAATTAGATTTTTAGTAGATTGTGATAGAAGTTTTTGAAATGTGTGGTTGAAAGTTGTAGGATCATGAAAGATATGGTTAATATTGATTGTTTGACTTTGACTTGGATTAAAATCAGATTTTAATCCGGACCAAACATGGATTAAATTTAGCACTTGTCAATGCTAAATATCATTTTTCGTAATAATTACTCTCTTGATTATAATTCATAAAAAGAAAAAGATTCTTGCTTCTATCATTTGGATATTCAAGTTTTATTTTCATGGGATAATACCAATTTACTTTGGTCCTTTCCCCCCTTGTCAAAATTTGAGAGGTAAGTGTTGTGTGATTTTCTTTACTTATCTCTTCTGGTATTTCCTGTATTAATTTATTCACTTTCTTTCCATATATGCGCCAGTTGTTGGATAATAAAGTATATTGACTGGGAAGGATATCTGGGTTAGATCTATTAGTTGAATTTTGGAGAATTTTTTTGGCAGAGGTGACAGAGGTTCTTTACGAGCTTGAGCTTACAATAAAGCGAGTTAAGGTAACAACCACTCCAGACGGGAAAGTGTTGGATCTCTTCTTCATAACCGACACAAGGTTTTCTATTCTTTCTGGTTCTATTGTTCTGATATTTTTTTTATTTTATTTTCTTGTTTGCGCACATCTATCAAACATAGATTTCAATAATGCATTTATTAAGCCTAATTTAGTTGTATTTTCATTTTATCATCCATGGCATATTTGAGGGATGTCCATATATTTCAACTAACCTGTATATAAGTTGTATAGAGAGCCTTTTAATTGCGGTTATCAGTGAACATCGTCCCCCAAACCTCTTCAACTCGCATGCGCATGCCAACTCATGCACAAACACTGAAAAAGAAAAGTAAACAAATAACAGGATCAACTGAAATCGTTCACCTGCTAGCTTCTTGGCATTTTCTGTTATTGTTGTCAGTCTTTGGTTCAAAAGGTTATTGTTCTTCTCAAAATTTTCAGGGAACTTTTACATACAACGGCGAGACAGGAGGACACATATGACCATCTAAAAGCTGTTCTAGGGGATGACATGATCACTTGTGACATAGGGATTGTCAGTCCTGAAATTGCTGCATGTTCACAAGGATCCTCATTTCTTCCTGATGCAATTATAGAAGATATGTTCAATACAGACATGAACGATGAACACAAAGATGGATCTGTGTACTCCAAAAATCCATCCATCACGATTGATAATTCGTTGAGTCCTGCTCACACACTTGTCCAGATTGTTTGCCGGGACCACAAAGGTCTCCTGTATGATATAATGAGAACTCTGAAGGATTATAACATCCAGGTATTGCTTTTCCCTTTTTCTTTTTTTCCTTTCCTGTTCTACTATTTACTTCTTGATTAGTTTATCTTTTCTTCGAGGTACGTGGAAAGTTTTTTTTCCAGTGCATTGTCTTAAATTAAAGTTCCTGATTTGAATACATTATGGTTTGTACTAGATTTCTTATGGACGCTTCACAACGAAAGGGAAACTAGACTGTGAGCTAGACTTGTTTATCATGCAAGCAGATGGTAAGAAAATAGTTGATCCCAGCAAACAGAATGCACTGCTCTCCCGTCTTCGAGTAGAACTAACTCGTCCTCTCAGAGTAGCACTGGTAAGCCGTGGCCCTGATACTGAGCTGCTAGTTGCAAACCCCGTCGAGTTATCTGGCAAGGGTCGTCCCCTGGTTTTCCATGACATAACTCTTGCTCTCAAGATGCTCAACAAAACAATCTTTTTGGTATGTCCCTATAGACATGCTTTAGTAGTTTCAGATTGAGACGATTTTATTATGCTTTTCTTTCTCCCTTCTCACATTAAGCATAGAAGCATCTTCTAAAGTGGACTATTACAATGTCCAATATCAATAGATGATTGTTTCATTAAGTGTCCATTGGCTCTATTAGTAGTACAATTCCGTTCAATGCAAGTTTATATCCGTTTTAGTGCTGTGATTGCATGCACCCTATAAATTTCTATCTACACTGAAAAATCTGTGAAAGAGTTTTCCATGGAGCTCGTGAAGGGGAATATTTTGTCGTGAGAGATACAAGTACCCAAACTCAAAACATAGGAAAATACACCCAGCCAAAAGGAAATTGTATATAGCTATCCAATGGTATCTGAATAATGATCTGACTCATTTTCTGAATATCTCTCCCTGATTTTCTTTTCAAATGATTATAATCAGATTTGATTGTCTTTTCAGGCCGAAATTGGGAGGTACATGATTGGAGAACGGGAATGTGAAGTTTACAGAGTTTTATTAGATGAGGGGGATGGTTTCTCTGTCGCAGGGAAAGAAATACAGGAGTCCGTTTGGAAGATGTTGATGGGTTGGGAGTTATAATGGTTAAGCCTAAAATGTTTTACAGGGTTGCAACGGAACTTTGGCCTGTGTATGGTATGCTTCAACCTTGATTATCATCTACACTATTTACATAACTTACTACTTGTATATGTATAACAAGTTGACTTTTTACAAGTTGTACTTAAGCTTCTGTATGACTGACCTTTCGTGTAAACAAGCGAATATATGATAAAAAGGTAAGTCAAGCCTTCTGGCGGTGTTTCTCTTGAAGTAGAAGTCAATACCTTAGGTGGGAAATAGAACTTGGTAACTTCCTTTCCAACTGTACACGTGGATACTTATTTACTGTAACGTTTTTATGCTAGAGATGGATGCCAAAAGTTACTAGAAGAATAAGTTGTACAGAATATTTCCTTGAGAGCTGGAATACACGATTGTTCTATCCTTGCTGTTTGGCTGCAGTTTTCTGTCAGCAAATTTGATGTTCTCATGGTTATATATTAGAATTTGATGTTTTATGACAAGGCAAAAGTGTAAAGTAGATAGTAAAGTGCTATATGACCACAATTTTTTAGGTACACGAAAAAACCGAAGAAATCTGATTTATCGATTCATCCTTTAAAGTATACATGTCTACTCCATTAGAATGATATAGAAATTCCCTCTTATAATTTCCAGTATATACCAGGTTTGTGCAATACTCCAGCAACCACACCCCAGAAGGTAATTTCAGCAAATATTACACATCATAAAGTCCCCACTCTTTCAGATTTCCAAATATCATTAAAAACATGCTGGTGAATCCAATTGACCTAAAAGTAACTACAATTTTTAGCTTGTAATGTGAAATATCCAGTTTATATGATATATCAAGGGTTTGTATGAGTAATGGAACTTACTAGATTGTTGTCTGGGTTCTTGTAATGCCATCCATTTATGAAAGCTGCAAAAATTCCCTGAGCTGCCATTACAAAAACCAGGATTGCATGCATCCCTATCCATTCCAGGAACAAGAATGGAGTATGCAGCCCCCAGACATCGATCTGTAATGTACCGGAAGCACATTTTTCAATTTTCGGTAGGTATTTTCTTTGGCAGGTAAGCATGAATACCTTTTTATTTTTTTCGTAGGGAAGGATGGGGTTGGAGGCTTTACCAGTATGTAGAACCCTGAAAATCCAATTCCGGCTGCACCAGCTGTGAAACAAACATAGCTGCTTCTTGATAGGAATAGCTGCAAAAAAAAAANGCTCCTGCAAGAAGTATTTAATTCTACTGTGAATCATAGCATTGCATTGTGAGTTTAATCTTTTTAGTTGTTTTTGATTTCCAATATAAATATTTTGAATTAATGATGCCGCAGATGAATTTACCTTTACATGAATCAATACATGTCCATAGTGAATGCCAATTGTGCCAGAGAGGATGGCTGAAATTGTGCTGAAAGCAAATCCATAGCATGCATAGTTTGCTCAAAATAAATCTTTCTTTTGGCAAAATATATACACACACACACGTATATAAAACATCATTGCTTCACATTATTCAACGAGATTTTATAGTTATCTTTGATAATTCGTCCATCCAGTACAACACAGCATATCAAACATGTCCATACAGTAAGTGTTATGGTTGAAATGTGAGGAAAGCAAACCTCGACGGCCTTCAGGTTCAAACGGAGCGCAGCACCAACTTGGTGCATTCTTGCGTAGTGGACCAGAATCAACATATGAAACCAAAAAACGATGCTTCTTTTGAATTCTAGTGTATGAATTTCTGTGATGTGGTCATTCTGAACTCTGACCTTTAATCGTGACCAAACGGGTTGCGAGTAGAGGTGATTATTACCCCAAACTTGTCTATCCACATAACCAACTGCATTGCAGGCAGGTCCAAAATGCCCTCTCATACCACATTTTACCTGAAAATTAGCAAAGGTTAACTCTCATTTTCTGACTGTAACAACTAATTACTGCATCAGTAGAAAAAAGAAGTCAATTTATTAGTGTATTTTTCAGCTACATGCTTATGGTGCACGACAAAGCTCCCGTCTGGGCAGGAACATATAAAGTGATTGCCGTGACCATGTATATAACATATGCAACAAACCCTCCTAACCAGCAATTATTTTACATCAATTAGCAGTCCCATTTTGGGGTTAAAAGGGTAAGTAATATGTGTTTAGTACGTAGTACTAGACATACCCACGTGCGTACTTACCATTGCCATTTGTAGGTGGTGAAAATGGAGAAATAACCGGGGCTTAGAACTGTTGGTCTGAGCTCCGTGGTGAGGGTCTCTATGATAGCCACGACAAAGTATACCAAAGCTATTATCTGGTTGCAAACACAATAACTGATGTTAAGCAGAGAGAGAGACAGAGAGTCCAGTTTTCTCTCTCTCTCTCTCTCTCTTCTTTTTTTTTTTTTTTTCGAATATTTTCAGAAAGAAAGCTGGACTTAATTTTTCATAAATTGAGTCAATTTACTTCCAATAGATGGATGAGAAGTTATCACGTGGAGGATGCCACACCATCTGATTTGCTTCATGCCAACTCCATAGAACGGATCATCTGGTGCATGAGAATATCCTCATGCAGTATGAAAATTTATCACCCATTTCCACAATAGTCCATACAGTAATGTTGCAGTCACAAATTGAACGGAGATGAGTATATTCTATACCTAGCAGAATAATTCCCCAAAAGAGAAGCTTCAATGTTCTTAAGATTATCTTTCTAATCGCTGACTTGACCTTCAGAATTTTCTGCAACATTAAGACGTATTCCTATCAGAGCAGTATTATCATGCAACTTACATTTTCAGCAATAGATGATGGATGTCACCTTCATATCCTTTTCGCACAAATGGAAAATGACGAGCAGGGGAAAATCAAGAAAAAGAAAAGCCATACATTTAGAGCGAGCCGCGAGGGCTATTGCAACCCCAACAATGAAGACGAAAAAGGCATTACAAATTAGCCAAATTGCATCCATTCCATGGCGAATGATCAATCCGTGAATATTCTCCTCCAGCAATTCATCCACGAGTATCATAAACTGCACACGGAAAATTTTCATTTAAGACGTAGAAATTCATGTATACTTGCAATAAAATATCTGTGTGCTAGATTGGCTTTAGTTAATTAGCCGCATACCACTATGGTGAGGCCCCTAAATGCATCCAAGGTTGCAATCCTCTTAGTCTTTTGCTTAATCAGCTGTTGCTCCTCCTTTTGTTCCTCAGGCCGGTCGGATATTGTCACGTTCTTTTCCTCATTCTCATTGCTCATGTGAATGCCTACCCGGTCTTTCTTACCTTGACGACTAGTTCTTTTGTTATTATTATCATCTTCAACCACAAGTTGTGTACCGATGCCAAACCCTTCTTCCAACCTCTTTTCAGTTGGATTCCGTTAGAATTGGAGGAGAGTCTTGTGAGATCCTGTATAACATATTGTAACTCCTTGCATTTGATATGGTGAATTCTCCATCTCTGCTCGTAATTTTTCCGTCTTAGGTTCTGTGTAAATCTTATGTTCTTGTAATTGTTATTTTCATCTTACTTATTATCTCGTATTTAATATTTATAATAATTTGCTCAATTTCTAACAAGTGGTATCAAAGCAAATTGGTATCACTTTATTTCTAACAAGTGGCATCAGCCCCAATGTTCGACTGTTCCTGGGAGAACCAGTTTGGTTTCGTATTAGATCAACTCAAAACAATGTTTGGTTGTTTCGGGATGACAAGTATGAAGTTTGATATTCCATTTTTGATCTCAACACCAAATTTTCGTTATGGTATATTTTTGTTTGGATGCTGAAAAATAAGCAACGTAAAGATTGAGATGTGATAAAGGGGCATAAAATGTCTCAATTATTGTTTTTGGAAGGTTCGATGATTACGTTTAATGTAGTTGTCACTAAATTGAAGAAAAGAGATATTAGACCTCGGGAGATGTTCGGTGAGGCTGATTTGGTTTCTTATAATTTGATAAGCATTAACTCAGATGGAGTTGGTTGTGTTCGGGTTGCTCGTAGTGATAATTCGAACAAATTTGGTATTGAAGAACCTTTTGCTAGCTCAGGTGAAGTTAGTTGATTTGATTACTTCGCTGCTCGTGGTAATAATTCGAGCAAATTTGGCACCTAAGATAAACGTGCTGATAAGTAGTGCTTAGATTCAGTCGACAGTTGCTAAGTTTAACCTAGTTGGGCATTGTGGAAGATGTGGAGTGTTTTGGTCGGAAAATTTTGTTGGAATTGAAAGTCAAGTTTTATTCATTGTAGAGGAATTCGCTTCTAGGTGGAGAATTTTTGAAGCTTCATTAATTGCAATGGAATTCGTGTCAAGATGAAGATTTGTTAAAATTTGGTTATGACCTAAATTCTATTATAAATTTAATTGAGAGTTCTATTTGGAGTTGGTAGTGTTTTGGACTCATATTTCAACTCAACTACTCCATTATTAATTTTACTTATTCTAATATGACTTTGCATTGTATTAGACTCTTGTTTGTATTGATTCTTTTAATATGTTAGAGATTCTTGTATTATAAATAGTACCATTGAAACTTAGAAACTCTAGTAACTAGATTGCAATATCACTATATAAAGAATTTAAAATTTGATAAATTAAGAGAGCGAGTTAGGAAAGGACATGAATAAAATCAAACGCCCGCCACCGTTGGAAATTGACTTGGATGAGTAGGGTCCCTAGAGGTAGAGAAGAAAGAATTCATAATACAAATCAAGAGCAAACATCAGAGAGACAGTTAAACAAGTCCATATGATCATGGTGGCTGGTCTATACTTGTCCAACCCAGCTTCAACTGACGTTCCGTCCTAGAATTCTAAACATTTAATAAATGGACACATTAATTGTTTGTTCTTAGATTGAATAGTAAAGATCGGAGAAAAACAACCACTCATTCTCAAAATCAACGTTCTTAAAATCATAAGGTCAGCGGAAATGGAAGAAAATTCTCAATCCACCAAATGAAAGACCCGCAAAACTGGCAATTTGTGACAACTACTTAACCAGGACATGTATAATTTCTAGCAATCAATAATTGGTCTACACTATATGGAAAAGTCAAATTTGCATCCACAATAGTCCAACATCACTCTTATGTGATCATTTTAGTCCAAGTAGTACGCTCGTTTGATAAGTTTCTTTGTAGAAGAATTTTTTAAAAAAAGTTACTTTAGATTATTTTGCGCATGTCTAGGGTCGATACTTACCAAAATTTTTTAACCGTTATGTAGTAATTTGATAGTCGCACCTTCTGAATAGATTTTACAAAATTACATTTATACTATTTTGACATTTATTACGCGAATTTTAAAAGTGACATCTATGGTAATTTAACTAATTTTGAGTCAAAGGCTAAGTTTGACATTCATTCTCGTTCTCGTTTTTTTTACTTTTTTAATTCCAATCACATTTTTCAAATAAAATAATATTACACACAAATCTAAAAAAATTCATTACTTTTCAACCACAAATTTTTTCATCAATCATTAATGCAGAATTCATTTTTTCTCCAAAAATGTTTGTCAAACACAAGCAAAATAATACGGCTAGAAGATGCTCACCTATTTTCCAATTGTCCAAATTTTCCTTAAAATGCGGTGAGAATAGGGGCCAAACAAAGGCTATCTTTCTAAGGTTGGAAGGCTTCGGATACATCGGTTATCCAATCAATTTTAAAATTCTGCAGGTACTGCTGTCTTCCTGTGCAAATTCTATGGGAATTCCCTAGACGTTGATTTCGAAGATAGTCAACGATACGGTAAAATCTAGACTCAGATATTTGATTTGCTCCGTGTATCTCAATTTTATCGGAAGTATTAAGAAAACAGAACACACCATGGCTGCCGGTGAATTCAATAGCGGTGGTTGGAGGGCCATGAGAAGCCTCACCTTCCAAGTGCTTACCGGCCGGTGGTTCATGCTTTTTGCCTCTTTCTTAATCATGTCCATGTCTGGTGCAACTTACATGTTCGGCCTCTACTCCGGCGACATCAAATCATCCCTAGGTTATGACCAGACAACCTTAAACCTCATAGGATTCTTCAAAGATGTCGGCGCAAATATAGGAATCTTGTCTGGCCTTATCAATGAAATTACACCGCCTTGGGTTGTTCTTTTAATTGGTGTAATCATGAACTTTTTTGGCTACTTCATGATATGGTTGGCCATCACTGGCCGGACGGCCAAACCCCATGTGTGGCAGATGTGTCTGTATATATGTATTGGTGCAAATTCCCAAACATTTTCCAATACTGGGGTTCTGATTACTTGTGTTAAGAATTTCCCGGAGAGTCGAGGAATAGTTATAGGGCTTCTCAAGGGATTTGTTGGCCTAAGTGGTGCAATTATCACACAGTTATACCGTGCTTTTTATGGAAGTGATTCTAAGTCTCTTATTTTACTTATTGGGTGGCTTCCGGCGGCTGTTTCTTGTATTTTTCTCCGAACAGTTAGACTCATGAAGGTTGTCCGGCAAGAAAATGAGCTCAAAATCTTCTATGGACTACTCTATGTGTCTCTAAGTCTTGCCGGTTTCATCATGATTCTGATTATCTTACAAAACAGATTTCATTTTCCTAGAGTAGCGTATGCAGGAAGTGCCAGTTTTGTTCTGATTTTATTGTTTTCTCAACTGGCTGTCATCATCAAAGAAGAATTCAATGTCTGGAAGAGCAAAAGACAAGAGTTGAAAGACCCCGTTCAGTTCAAAGTTGTTTCTCAACTGCTAAATCCGCCTCCAGTTGAAGAAACTCAGCCGTCGACAACCAGTGATCTGGTAAAGCACCAAAAGCGGGCAGATTCGTGGTGGAGCAACCCTTTCAATCCACCAGAAAGAGGCGAAGATTACAACATATTGCAAGCAATTTTCAGCATAGATATGATAATTCTATTTACTGTCACAACATTTGGAGTTGGGGGTACATTGACAGCAATGGACAATCTAGGCCAAATTGGTAAGTCTTTAGGTTATCCAAGTAAAAGCATAACCACATTTGTGTCACTAGTAAGCATATGGAATTATCTTGGAAAAGTAGCATCCGGTTTTGCCTCAGAAATTTTCTTGGAAAAGTACAAGTTCCCACGTCCCCTAATGCTCACATTAGTACTCCTCCTCTCTTGCACTGGTCATCTTCTTATCGCATTTGGAGTCCCAAACTCTCTATATTTATCCTCTGTGATTATAGGCTTCTGTTTTGGAGCCCAATGGCCGTTGATATTTGCAATCATATCAGAATTGTTTGGGCTCAAATACTACTCTACATTGTACACTCTAGGGGGTGGGGCCAGCCCGCTTGGGGATTATATTTTAAATGTTAAAATAACAGGTTATTTATATGATAAAGAGGCCATGAAGCAAATGGCAGCTAAAGGGCTCGTTAGGAAAGAAGGGCAAGACTTGACATGCATTGGCGTTGAGTGTTACAAACTCGCTTTTCTAATAATCATGGCCGCCACACTGGTAGCATGTGTAATTTCAGTCATTTTGGTGCTTAGAACTAGAAAATTTTATAAAAGTGATATATACAAGAAGTTTAGAGAGCAAGCTAATCGACAAGAGTAGTATGATTGTTTTGCTTGTAAAATTATATAAATCGTAGTTATATCTTGTTGAAAGGTTACCGTTTGTATGTAAGAACCGCAGCCATTTTCAATCTTTTATTCGGTTCTCTTTTGTTTGTACTGCATAGATGCAAAATTGTATGAATAAATGCAAATCATTTGCATGTGAATCTGAAATGCATTGTATATGCTGATTTGATGTTTAGATTTATCAAAATGGCACACTATGCCTTTGTTTGGTAAAAAAATGTTAAACTTTATCAACTTTTTAATGGGTCAAATCTTAATTTTAATCACACGTTTATTGAGATTCACAACTTTTCTACTCTCAACGGGGAAGAGGAGAGTGGTCAAGTGGTCAAAAGTGACATATTATAAACCAATTTGACTTTTTTCTACGTAATTTTGAATCCTACCTCTCTGTTAAGAATAATAGCTAGCTCCATTCACCATGGAGCTAGTGTTGCTAGCTCCATCCAGCAAGGAGTTGGTGTCTAGCTCCATTCACCATAGAGCTAGTGTTGCTATCTCCATTCATCATGGATCTATCTCCACATCAGCCTTATCCTTGTACATATCATTGATGACTCAGCTGCCTCTTTCCTTGGTGTACTAGCCGTTCCTCCTTGCTATTCTTGGACCACAATTTAGTTGTAAAAGATTCCTACATGATCCGTAATTCAAGGAGCTGCCTAACGACTATAAGTTCTAATACCTTTGGCAATATGATGTATTATATATACAATTAGATCAATCAATATTAATTACAGCATCACCATTATCTTCTTGACTTTGATATATATATTTTTACTTGGTATCAGAGCTACCATGGCCAACGCCACCATCACGCCTCAAAATGCTGCTCGAGTATCACTTTTTAGCAACACTGCTGCACCAACACTTGGAAACACTCAGCTCTCACCGTTTAGTGTAAACTTGACTCAAACCGTATCTGTCAAGCTTGACAAGAACAACTATTTGTTGTGGAAAATATGATCCTTCCGATTATCAGAGGCCACAATTTGGAAGGCTATATACTTGGGACAAAGGTGTGTCCTCAAGAATTTATTGGTAATCAAATTAATGGAGAAGTTGAAACCAGTAAAGAAATGGTAAAGAACACAGAGTTTTGCCAATGGATGTCAACAGATCAACTGTTGATGGGATGACTTTACTCATCCATGACTTCAGATATAGCAATGAGAGTGATGGGTGCAATCAACTCGAATGGACTGTGGACAGCCATTGAAGAAAGCTATGGAGTCCAAAATAGATCAAGGATAATTTCCTCATTGGTGAACTTAAAAAATGCAGGAAAGGTAATATGAGCATAGATCAGTACCTGAATAAGGTAAAACAACTCTCTGATTACTTAGAAATTGCTGGGAAAACCATTGCTCACACTGATCTAATCACTCAAGTCCTAGCGGGACTAGATCAAGACTGCACACCAATTGTTGTTCAACTGAATAGCAGGGATCATATGTCTTGGGGAGAACTTCAATCCACATTGATGACATATGAAAGTAGGCTTGAACATCTCAACTCTATTAGGAATGAAATGATAGGAATGAACATTGAACAAACCTCAGTAAACGTTTCCTAGAGGTCAGGTTTTGGCCACTTTAGATCTAACAGGCCAAGTATGGGTGGAAGATTCACTAACTTAAATCATCATAGAAGTGGAAGAAGAGGTAGAAGCAGATGAGCATACATGTCTGGAGGAGATAGACCAATTTACCAAGTCTGTGGGAAACTAGGACACAAGGCAAACGTCTGCCACTTCAGATATGATGAAAGGTATTCTGGCACCTCACCAAGTCAAAGGATCAACTACAATTTATCACCTGCAGCATTGATAGCCTCTTCTAACACAGTAAGAGACCCAGCCTAGTTTGCAGACACAGGTGCCACCAACGACATCACATCTGAGAAAGGAAACAACACCTCTGCAAGTGAGTATACAAGTAAGGTAAAAGATATGGTGGGAAATGGTAGCAAGTTGAATATCTTACATTTTGGAACCTTACATATTTCTGCTTTAAACAACAAGACATTGGTATTGAATAAATTGTTACATGTACCTGAAATAAAAGAGAACCTCATTAGTGTATCACAACT